AAATATAAGTTGAGGTCATTCTGGAGTAAGGCAACTCCCTAATCCAATATGACTGGTGTCCTTATTTTTAAAAAATGGGGGCATGTCTGGACACAGGGAGAATGCCATGGGAACATGAAGGAAGAGGTGTGTCAACGTGGCTAAAGACACATTGCCAAAGATCAACATCCAACAAAAGAAACAAGGGGAAAATAGCAGAACGGATTCTCTCTCATGGTCCTCAGGAGGAATAAGCCCTACTGACACCTTGACCTGAGACTTGCAGCCTCCAGAACTACCAGACAATAAAATCCTGTTGTTTAAGTTCCCCAGCCCCGCTCCTATCATCTGCAATACTTCATTACAGCAGCCACAGGAAGGTCTTACACCCTTCAGTGGCTGCTCACACAGTGGTGGGTGGAGTGGGTCAGATCCTAGTGACAGACTGCTAGGGGTGCCCCTGCCGTCTACTATTTCTATGGCCTGGTCAAAATCCTGAAAATACTGTCCCTGTCGCCTCACCTTACAGTAACAGTGACCCTCGTAGGGCTGCTGTGCAGGTGAATTTTCATATTTGATGTCATGGTATGGGTATGAGGTATCCCCAAAAAGCTCATGTGTGAGACACTGCAAGAATGCTAAGAGGTAAAATGATTGGGTTATGAGGGCAACTGAAAGCAGATGGGGTGTGGCTGGAGGAGCTGGGTCACTGAGAGTGTGCCTTTGGGGTGTATATTTTGTCCTCATCGAGTGGTGGTCTCTCTCTTTCTACTTTCTGATCACCACGTCCTGAGCCATTTTTCTCCACCACACATTTCTGCTATTATGTTTTGCCTCTCCTTAGGCCCCGAAGTATGGAATTGGCCTTTTATGGACTGAGACCTCTGAAATCATGAGCTCCAAAATAAATATTTCCTCCTCTAAAAAAAAAGAGAATATCTATCATATAGTACTTTCAATATTTAATATTGTTATTTGTTAATTAATGAATTTTTAATATATTGACACTCTTGTAACTTTTGTCATAATCTCATAATCCTATGTTATGAGAGGCAGCATGATATACTGGAAAGAGTACAGATTTTTAGATTCAAACATATCTGAGTTGATGTACAGATTCAAATACTTATCAATGGTATAACATTTAGCAAGAGATTTACTGTTATTCTTAGTTTTCTTGTGCAAAACAGGATAATACTATCTCATAAGATTTCTGGAAGAATTGAACAAACAACATAGCATCATGTTTGTTCCATAGTGAATGGTAAATGTAGGAAGTTTTCATTTCATTATTGTTATTTAAATATCTATACAGGTAATACAGCTTCAAACCTAGCCTTCCAATAACAGGACCTTCACCATTCTACTTTAAGCAGCACTCTCACGTGTCTATACCTTGATTTTAATTCTGTCCAACTTCAAAGAAATTAAGTTTAATATGCGAGTATGTCTCTAACTTATTATTTTACCAATTCCTTTATGATATTGCTTCCTTAAAACCTGCTTTTTAAACTCCAAGTCCCACATTTATTCCATCACTTATATAATTATGAGCAGTAATATGATTTCTCTTTTTTTCCCCAAGATTATCTTGAGCCCCAGGATTTATCATCTGAACTTTTTTTTCTCAAATTTTCCTGTACACATTTACCTTTCTTTTGTATGTTATTTCTCAGAAATGATCCATTCTTTCACCTAAATTATAAATCTAAGATTCAACAATTCTTCCCTTTCACATCTATAACTGCTTCTTTCACATGAAAAAAACATTTCTCAAATTATAATCTTCTCTCCATTCCTACATGTATCATTTTCAGAGCTTCCTATTACTTGTCTTTTTCCTCTCCAATTTAAATCTGACCAGGTTAAAGACCAGATTAAAAACTCTTCAATAATTCTCCAATACTTGGAGAGTAGTATGCTGATGTTAGTTCTTTTTGAAAAATAACAAAGAGTGAGATAGCTGAATCATATGGTGGTCCATTCTTAGACTTTTGAGGAATTATTATTTTTTATTTATTTTTGAGACAGGTCTTTATAACTTACAAGTGCTGGTGTTGAACTCGTGATCCTTCTGCCACAGACTCCAAGGTAGCGGAATAACAGGCATACATACTGAACCCGAGCTGAAACTTTTAATTTAATTCCATTTAAACTTACATTTCCATATGTTACTAATGACTTTTGTATTATACAACACAATTCTAGAAAATTTGAGTACCTCTGTTCTCACCCATTGAGTCATATATTTACTGAGGTAACTGTGCTCAAAACATGTTTATTCCAATTATATTTGTTGTAATAATAAATTATATAACATATAATATAAAACACATAATTATATAAGTTGTGTAAATATTACTAAATATCATCTAAATTGTTGGAATAAGTGCAAAATGGAAGATATATGTAAAGTAAAAATTTTGGAAATACTCACTAAATATCATTAAATGATTTTTCTCTCATATTAAGTGTGAGTGATGCAAGTGTAAGAAAATGGATGCTATGTGCTATCATCACAAAAAAATGATAACTATGGAAGGAAGTACACTTGTTGATTGGCTAGACTTAATCATTCCACAATATACATATACTTTGAAAACATTGTGTTGTTCATAAAACAATGTTAACGTATAATTTTTAAAAAAAGGTGTAAACAAGTGGATATCATTATAATCTAGAATTCTGCACTGAGATTACTTTGTAAACACCTTTAATTTCTTGATTCATTCTAATAAAACTTAAACTGAAATAGATACAGTTTATGTGAGAAAGTTGACATCGAACTCTATACGCAAGAAAAATGTCTGTGCTAGTACAAAAGTTTGGTTATTCTATGTGCATTTATATTTAAGACATTTTGTTTTCATTATGTCCCTTTCAGTTTTTTCAATGAATTCACCACCATTTATTAATCCCTTTTCAGAATGCATCAGTGGATGGAATTTCTAATATAGTTTAAATACAGAAAAATATCGAAAGAATTATAATGCTTAGGCAATCAACAAATTAAACAAAGTTAATTCAAATGAACTCTTGCTGAGGTACATAGTTGCATATCCAATTTAATTTTTTTTACTACCAATATGGTTTTATTTTTGTCATTGTCAACATGTACAGCATTGGAATTGTATCATTTTATTTTATTTCTTAAATATTACTGAAGTATGCATTAAAAAGATACTAATACATTTAAAGCCAGCAGCAGTGACACACACCTAATCCCAACTATCTGGGAGGCTGAGGCAAGAAGATCACAAGTTCAAGGTCAGCCTGAACAATATCACCAGACCCAGTCTCAAATAAATATATATTTTTAAAAAAGGGTTGGGGATGTGATTTAGTGGAATGCATCAGGGTTCAATCCCCAGTATCACCAAAAAACATTTAAGAAATATGACACATAAGAAGGCCTCTGTAAACATAATCCTTTCTCAATATTTTTTCCTATTTTGCTTCATACGTAAATAACTTAATCTATATTATCAACTCTTATGGCCTAGAACTGCATACACATTTTGGAGTTGAGAATAAATGTTCTCTTTGATTTATAAATAACATGCAGTATTTGTAGTGTTTAGTTTCATTCAAATGCTTATCACAAATTCTTATTGTCTCCCAACTTGTTCTGCTAATAGACCTTTTCAGTTTACTGGTAAAGATGCCATGAATTAAAAGTCATAATGGTCAAATAAATATTTAAAAAAAGCAGAGAAAGTGGCTACCTAAATATCACTAAATCTTATAAAAACCACTTCAGCTTGTATGAACAATAAAAAACATTAGTGAAGAATGAATACCATTCATTTAAAAGGTATCTAACAAAAATCTAAAATTTAGTCAACAATGAAATTAAATCCATATTAGCCTTGCAAAAAAATTCCACTGAGATTCTGTTACAGAAACAGAACCAATAACATCCTAAATTTTCTAAAATTTATTTTTGAATTATCATTTTGATGAGTTAAAACTTTAAGGGTAAATAATGACACACAAAATGATTTTAGAAAGGCAAACTTATAATTCCTGATACACATTTCATTAGTTTTTGTTTAATGACTAGAAATCCTTATTTCTTCAGAAAATAGTACATATTCATTGAAACGCACCACTTATCTAGTGATTTATTATATATCTACATCATATTTATTAGATAAGAATTCCAATTACTTTTATGTAATAAAAGTAAAAAGGAATTTTGCATGTTGGCTATGTTTCACTTTATACATTATTTTTAGGCCTTTATAGGATATAAAACTTAGAAAAACATTCAACTAATATTCTTATTTGATGTAAATGACTCAAACTACAAACAATACTAAGCTAAGCACTGTTATTACTTTTAAAATCTAAGTTTCTAGAAGTTTTATTTTTCAGTAAATACAAAATGATCTAATTCACACTATTAACTGCCCAAAACCTGTTTAAAAAACTAAATATTCTTTGTTAAAGAGAAGATTACAAGAAATGTTTTCTATGTTCTCATTTAAAAAAAAAAGATTCTGGTATACATGGGGAATTTAAATACAAATTCTTACATGGTGGCTAAAATCTTGTCAACTTTCAGCCTGATACAACATAAATCAACAGTTATTATGCATAAACAATTCAAAATTAAAGTTTATAATGGAAATGTCAACAAGTCATAACTACGACACATCAATACTGATGGGTTCCACTATACTTCCACCAGGCACAGCATATGTGCACATCTGATAGACTGCTTAGAAAATTAAAGCTATCAGAGCTATAAATAAGGAATACATAAATATAAACATAGCAATGCCAAAACATTAGGGCCATTAAAAAAAAAAAAAAGATGCGATGCAAACACATTTGATAGTTCTCTCTGTAAGCCACTTTCCACTGATTTATAAAGCTATGGTTTTATAATTCTTTTTAAAAGGAAAATTTTTCTACACTGCTGCATGCAGTAATTTCACTGTACATTCTTGACTAAAATGCAATCTTCAAATCCTCTTGAGGAATTTGACATATTTCATCAGGATCTCTCCAGAAAGTCAGCTTGTCATATTTTCAGCAGCCTTTAGTGCTTCAGTAGCCTTGCGGAGTTCCTTAATAACAGATGATAAAGCTTCTGGGTTAATTCCTTGTTCACAAAGCCGTACACAAATAGACAGTGTTTCCATATCTAAGCCAGTATTCAAAATTCTTGAAATCTCAAGCAGAACATCCATGGTCTCCCTCACCGCATTCAGATTCGCCGCCGCGGTCGCCGACGACCCGGCGCCGCTGCCACTCGCCATGGCGGAGGCCTCCAATTTAATTTCAACAAAATAACATCATAAATCACATTCATGCTATTATTCAATTTTTATCTGGTTTGTTGTTTTGTTTGTAGAAAAATTATAAATTCAATTTGGTTAGATAGTGGTATAACATACATTGGTTAAGCATACTCATGGTATAATGAAAATACAACTGTATTATTGTTATTATTTTGTTTCTTACTTTCTCTTGAATTTTTATTTATTGGAGGTAATATTCCTCCTCCTTTAAAAATACTCCAACAAAACCCATACTTTTAAAAATCATCCTTAGGTAATAAGTCCAATTGTGACCTTAAATCAAAAATACAATAAATGGAAAAATAAAAATATTTAATATATGATAACAATAAAACTCTGAAGTTTAATTATTATTCAAATAAACCCTTCCCCAATTTGAATTTACTTAAATGGCAGGAAAGTATGGTTGATTTATTTCTTTGTATTTCTTTTTTTTTTTGCTTTGCATTTACCCACTACTCCCACCTTTGGTGGGTATAAGTATGGGATAGTCTCATTGGAATGGGTCTGTTCTAGACTGGCTCTATATTCTCTGTGTACAAATGATATTTAAAACTAACTATCTTTCATTTTTATTGGTTCTTCTTAGTTATACATGACAATATAATCCATTTTTACATAATTATAAAACCATAGAATATACCTTGTTCTAATTGAGTCCCCAGTACCTCTTCTTCCTAACCTCTCCCCCCAAGCTCTGCTCCCTTCCATGATCTTTCTGCCATTTTACCTATAGTTACTTAGTTTAATTACTTTATTGTGGATATACACAATGGTGGGACTAACTGTTGTTTGGGGTACTTTAGAACAACTCTCCTGTGATTCTCTTGATTAGGAGATAGGTGTGTCTACTCTCATGGGTCACTGGTGACTCCTTCTTTAGTTCATATGAATCTAGCATTCACCTCTAGGTCTTGCTGCTGAAATCCTCATCATCATCCCTCCAAGTAACCCTGTCAAAGGTACCCAGAATGACCTCCTGCTAATTATTTCATGTGGTCCACATCTAGTCCCCATAAAATGCTCAAGCATCACTTGTCCAAATTGCAATACTTTTTACCTCAATCCTGCTTTTATAGCCTACTTTACCTTTCTCATGTGTAAGGCTAGCATTAGTCCTCTGTGTTCTCCTAACTGTAGAGAAAACATTTCAAGCTATGTTATTCCATGAAAATCCTACCATTAATTTTTTATTAGAAGAGGAAGAACTTTCTTGCCTCTCATCCTTTAAGGGTATATGAGAACTCACAGCAGTGGAGAAACTCTTTCCCAAACAAATCACCTCATAATTTCTCCTCCTTCTCCTCTTTCCCCTTTTATAAACTTTAAAGTCAGAAAATTCAATAGGTGGGCAACTTTGACTTTAAAATTTTGCATATAACAATCTGCCTCACACCCATTTTGGTATGTAATATCTATTGGGATGATGCCAGAAATGAAAGTGAGATGGGAGAATTGTATTTGAATAATGTATTACAGATGTGATAAGAGCTAGATTTATGTTCTTTCCAAATCTAGCAAGATCTTTAGCCCTTTATCTAAGGACGTTTTTCACTCTTTATCAACTACATGTCCTTATTTTCTTTGTTATCCAGATAGATTTCAGGGCCCATGTCAGGTTTCCATTGTTGTGACAAAATTCCTGGAAAAAAAACTTAAAAGAGGAAACATTTTGGTCTACTATTTTAGAAATTTCATTCCTTGGTCTTTTAGCCCCAATGTTTCTAGATCCCTGATGAGGTAGAGCATCATGGTGTGGTATATTTGATGGATAAGAGCTGCTCACCTCATGCAACCAGGAAGCAGAGTGAAAGAGAGAGGATGAAGGATCTGGGGATAAAACATAGGCTTCAAGGATTTGTCCTCAAGAACCTACTTCCTCCAATGGGGCCCTCCCTCCTGAGTACTACCACCTCCCAGTAGCCCATTAAATTATGAATCGGTCAATGAATTAGTTCGTTGATGAGGTTAGATTTCTCATCATGCACCATCTTCCAAAGGCCCTACCAATGACCAATTCTGTAGTGGGGAACCAAGCAAACCTTCAACAGATGAGGCTTCAGGGTATGTTTCAGATGCAAAACATAGCAGTCCATCACTATATAACCATTTTCTTGCATACACTCCTTGACCTTATTTTTCTTCTGTCATAATCACCTTGTGAAAAACTAAATTTACATAAACATGCCTTGCCACCTATTATACACCTGAATTAAACAGCAGAATATAGGTGAAAATCATCACAGAACCATGCTGACTATCTAACTTTAAAACTATGGTTGTTTCCACTCTTGAAAATTCTGTTTTTATTTATTCATCATGATCTTATTTTCTACTCTCTGAGACAAGTATTCATTATCTTCTCATCTGTCCTCAAAATTCCAAAACTTCTTTCTTGTCTTCAATCTTGCTTATCACTTTATATTTTATTTAATTGAGAATATTGAAACAAGCAGAGGAGAACAATGTAATTTTCTACCATACTGTCTGAAAATATTAATTTTTAATTAATCTACCATACTGTCTGCAATTTTATCTGTATATATCCACTTTTAGATTTATCTGCGTCCAAGGTGTATGGAGCACTTATCTCAGTTTCTTGGTATTATCATAAAAAATGTAATAAAAATAGTTATTTTCTAATGGGGATGCCATGAGGATGAAATTAGTAACACTTTGAATTAATTCTGTCACAAAGTATATTTGAAATAAGTATTAGTATTTTTATTAAAAAATCCTCCTCCTTCCTAAGGTCAGTTGTAGTATATAGCACTATACTTGCATACCTCTTAATTCTTCAGGACTTTACTCTAGAAATTATTTGCTATATTTACTTTCTCATCAATGTATCTATCTCCAGTGGTCATTCCTATAATCACTCTGGAACTATAATATCTCTCATCTTTGAAAGCTGCTCTCTAAATTACATTTCCCTATTTATCTAGCTACTCTGTTACTCTGCTTTTTAAAAAAAACATACCTCTTGTGAAGGTATCCAACTAGAAGTTTCTAGTGTTCTACAAAAAACACAAAACATAAAATAACCACAGTTTAAACAAATGCTGAGTTAAGAACCCCAGAGAACAGCAAAGCAACAATAGAAATCTTACAGATCATAGGAAGTCAGGTTGCCTTTGTATAGAAAGGAAGAAAATGTCTTGCCTTACAATACCATCTCCTTTTGGTATCAGCTGCAAACCTGGGGGCATGTTTCCCTGTGTAAAAGGTATTCAGGAAGACCCCAGTAGTCCCCAACACCACAACAGACACCTGCAGTCTTCACTATTGAAAATTCCTATATATCCTGGAGATTAGTGCTTTATCTGATGTGTGTGGCAAAAATTTGCTCCCAAAATGTAGGCTCTCTCTTCCCTTCATTAATCATTTCTTTTGCTGAAAAGAAGCTTTTCAGTTTGAATCCATCCCATTTATTGATTCGTGATTTTATTTCTTGTGCTTTAGGATTCTTTATAAGGAAGTCGGGACCTAATCAGACATGATGAAGATTTGGACATACTTTTTCTTCTATTAGGTATAGGATCTCTGGTTTAATTCCTAGATCCTTGATTCACTTTGAGTTGATTGTTGTGCATGGTGAGTTTCATTTTGCTGCATATGGATTTCCAGTTTTCCCAGCACCATTTGTTGAAGAGGCTATCTTTTCTACCATTTATATTTTTGACACCTTTGTCTAGTATGAGGTAACTTATTTATGTAGGTTTGTCTCTGTGTCTTCTATTCTGTAGCATTGGTCTACATGCCTATTTTGGTGCCAATACTATGCAATTTTTGTCACTATAGCTTTGTAGTATAGTTTAATTTCCGGTATTGTGATGCCTCCCACTTCACTCTTCTTGCTAAGGGTTGCTTTGACTATTCTCAATCTCTTATTTTTCCAAATGAATTTCATGATTGTTTTGTCTATTTCTATAAGGAATGACATTGTGATTTTAATTGGAATCATGTTAAATCTGTACAGCACTTTGGGTAGTATGACCATTTTGACAATATTGACTCTGCCTATGCAAGAGCATGGGAGATCTTTCCATCTTCTTAAGCCTTCTTCAATTAATTTCTTTAGTGTTCTGTAGTTTTCATTGTAGAGTTCTTTCACCTCTTTTGTTAGATTGATTCCCAAGGGTTTTTTGTTTGTTTGTTTGTTTGTTGAGGCTGTTGTGAATGGGGTAACACCCTGCAGTCCACATGCTCAACTATCTCCAGAGAAAGGCACAATTTTGTGCCCTGTTCCCTATGCTCTTTGCTGGTATTGCTTTGTGACATCTTAGAACCAGAGTTCTAAGATGCTAGAGTAAATCCCACTTTAGGAACGAAGATCCATTACATCCTTCCATCACTAAAACCCAAACATCTCTGTACAATTTCTATGCTATTTTCAAGCAATGCTTTTGCTATACCCTACCCTTTAGGGTCAAACTACCACAGTGCTGCTGCATCTTCCCATCCAAGTCACTAGTCTACTCGCCTCTAAGAGCTAACCTTAAGGGGGGCACCTCTAGGGACCTGGAACTTTGTACTACCAGAGAAGTTGTGTTTCCCAGAACCACAGCCAAAGTAATATTCCACCCCACCAGGGATCTTAAACGAACAACACCTTGGAGCAGCAAACCTCTGGCCCCAAAAGAGATGCTACACCTCTTTCTGAATCAAAGGCCTCAAATCTCCTGCACAGAAAGTGAGGCAGAGCTCCAAACCCAAGGGCCATCAGGTGTTAGAGCAGCTGTGACTCTGAATACCACATCATCATTCTACTACTCTAGACCTTCCAAAACACAATTCACAGAGCAATTTTTCCATTCCTGAATCATTCTGTTCCTGCTGCTGCACCAGACCTGACAAAGCCTGGCTACTAAAATGTACCACCATCCTGGGATCCAGAATCACAAAGTACCATATGAAGTACCATGGTACCACCATCCTGGGATCCAGAATCATGAAGTACCATGGTACTTCATCCTCCAGAGCTCAAACTGTCACTCTGTTCCATTGGAATTGGATACAGATTTGTAGCTATGCCCTTCTCCCCAAGTACCTCTTATTCCCTTGAATTATGCTAGTGCTATACTCTCTTCCCTAGGATCAGAAAAATCACAATGTGACAGAACCCAGAACTCAAGATTATTGTGTGACTGAGAACAACAGACCCTTTTGTTAATGTGAAATTGGTATCTTCCCTTGAAGAGTGAACCTATGCCTTAAATACTAGGTGCTACAGTAGTTTATCAAGATCCTGAGCTCAAGATTTTGATTCCACAACAATTGTGCCTGGATCCCAGTGCTGCTCTAAATGTCTGTAATTCATCTCATTTGAAATATCCTGAGGGATACCCCTAACTAAGACTCCTCATTTTAGGGAAGATATGAACTGGGGGATCCCTAAAGTTCATGTACAAATAGCATACATAATCACTGTAACTCACAAATTCCTGCAAACTAGACCATTGAGGAATACACAGTCATTGCTAACATCGATGACAACTGAAGAAACTGCACAGAGAATCTAACACTGTACAAATGTGGAACCAGAGCCAAAGCACCCTGCTCAACTGGCAACCTCAAGCCAATGTAAAAGTGAAAGTGCCATAAAGGCACTGTATAAAGTTTGGAAGAGGTGACTGCTCCACCAGATACACAGATAAAAATTCAAAACCAAAAAAAAAATTAAAAGCATGAAAATATGAAACACCAACATAACACATTAGTTCTCTAGTAACTGATGCAAAGAAAAAAATTATAAATTATCGAAGAAAAATTCAAAATGATGTTAAAGAATCTCTTTTGTTTTTTTCTTGGCGATGATGGGGATGTGAAGCAAGCACTCTACCAACTGAGCTATATCCCCAGCCCCCAGATACATGAGAATATAAATAGAAAATTTGATGAAACCTGGAAAAAAAATCATTTTCTTAATGAGAAAATTTTTGAGGATTCCTTCTGTTTTAGTATTTTTATCAGTACATTTCAGTTATATACAATGTTACAGTTCATGTTTATGTAATCACACAATCATAGAATATAATTTGCTCCACTTCAGTTCCTGGTATTTCCTCTTACTCTCTTCTCCTCCTTGCCGCAGATTCTTCCTCTGTTCTACTGATCTTCTTTCAATTTATTTTATACAGTTTTTAATTGGTAATTCATAGTCATAAAAAGGTGAAATTCACATATTTACATAGCATAGTTGGTCATCTTCATTTCACTGTTCCTCACTTTTCCCATCCTGCCTCTCTCACTGTCTTTCAACTTCTTCTACTTCACTTATTTCCCTTTATTTTCATAGGATTCCCTCCCCTTTCCCCTTTATTTTGGTCTAGCTTCAGCATAAAAGAGAAAACATTCAACCTTTAAGTCCCCAAGCCTGGCTTATTTCACTTAGCATGAAGTTCTCCAGTTTCATTCATTTACCAGAAAATGCCATAATTTCATTCTTTGTGACTGAGTAAAACTATATCATACATAAACACCACCTTTTCTTTATCCATTATCTGTTGAGGGGCACCTGGTTTGATTGTATAACTTGGCTATTGTGAACTGTGCTGCTATAAACTGTGGTGTAACTCTATCATAACAGTATATTAATTTTAGTTCTTTAGGTTAAACAGCAAGGAATGAGATAGCTGGGTCATATGGTGGTTAAATTACTATCTTTTGAGGCATCTCCATACTGCTTTCCAAAGTGGTTGAAACAATTCTTTGTGTGTTTGCTTTTTGCAGTACCGGGGATCAAGCTCAGGGCCTTGCCTATGCATGGCTAGTGCTCTGTCACTGAACTACATCCCAGCCCTTTTAAATTCTTTTTTTTTGTTTGTTTTGAGGCAGGGTCTTAATAAATTTTCCAGACTTGCCTAGAATTTGTGATCTTTCTACTGTAGACTCTAGTAGCTGGGATTATAAGCATGTGCCACCATATCTGGCCACTTAATCTCTTTTTTTTTGGGGGGGGGGGGCAGGATTTAGAGGTTTATTTTCAGTCTATGCAAGACTAAAGTTCAAAGCAAATTCAATTTTGCTTAAGGGAACATTGTAAAGTAACAATTATTGGTATTACATGCCTCATATGATCCATTTCAAACCATAGAGAATTACATCATATGTGTCACTGTTCCAAGAGACAAATAAATTTGAACAGCTAAAACATCTTAAAAATGCACCAAGTTAATGAAGTCTCAAACAAAACTTGAGTTTTCTGTACATACTCCTGTCAAATGAAGTTATTTCCTGTACACCACTTCTCTTGCAGACTGGTCTTCTATTTCCTTTCATTTGACCTAGATCGGCTAGGAGACCTAGAGAAGGATCGGGACGGCTTGTGATTTCTCTCCCGAGACAGTGATCTCTCTCTTCTCCTATCTCTAGAAAGGGACCTGCTCCGGCTGCGAGAGAAGCTTCTCCTTCTTGGAGATCTGCGGCGAGGTGGAGGACTCCTCCTACGATAATCATCTCGAGGACGACGACCCCAAGACGGAGGTGGGCCACGATTTCGACTTCTTTTTTCACCATTCGAGAGTTCCACTCTTACACGGCAGCCACAAAGTGTTCTTCCATCTAGCTCTCGGACAGCATCAGCAGCATCTCGGGGATCTTCAAATTCAACAAAAGCAAAGCCGGGAGGGTTTCTAGCAACCCACACACTTCGGAGTGGTCCATAGTAGCCAAAAGCCCGTTCCAATTCAGTCTTGTTGCCATTGTTTCCAAGATTACCTACATAAACCTTACAGTCCAATGGACAAGAATCACTATGCATTTCGAGATCGTGGGTTAGAAATGCGGAGGCTCAAATCCACACGATCCGATGGATCTTCCCGCTCCTATTCCGGCTCAGCTTCCGCAGATGCGCTCGCTCACCCGGCGTCCACGAAATGGCCCACTTAATCTCTTTGAGTCTGAGTTTCCTTATAGACAAAACAGAGAAGTCACATTAGGTGACCTGTGTCATCTCTATCATCCTTTCAGTGTACATGACAACCTAATATATATATATATATAATTTTATATCTCATGAAATAACAATAAGTTTATATGCCAACAAAATTCATCCAAGATATTATTGCACTTTGAAGTTGTGAATGTTCTGAAGCTCCACCCCTAATCTAGTTGCTATATTTGTGATTGAATGATCAATAGCCAAGATTCATAAGACATTAATTTATGTTGTGACAAACCTTATAGCTTGTATAGCCAAAAATTAGTTCCATCAACTCTGTGATAGTGTTCTGTATGATGGAGGAGGGCACATAATTATATGAGCAAATTTTCTATCATATAAATCAGACATACTTTGAAACACAGAAAACATTTTTTCCTTAATGTTGTGTGGATACATACAAAATCTTAGGCTAAATAATTTTCTCACTAAACAATCTAATAAAGATTTACAACATGTTTTACCATAATTTTCATGATTTGAAGAGAATTTAGGTAAATTGGCTATAATATTCAGCATTACAGTATTAATTCTGAGATAGAGGTATTACAAAAGAGGTATGAACAATAAATAATTCAAGGAAATTGATTTTGTGACCCTTAACATCAATTATATGGTTGAATTGCATTTTAGAATGATTTAAAAATCTGTGTACAGGTTTCAAAATAAATTTTAATAGAAGACTTAATTTCACAACAATGATATAATTAACACTTCATAATCTGCACTGCCATATAACATTGAATCTAATAAAGTTTCCATTCAAAATTGCAAAATATTTTATTCCAAGATATAATGCAATAATGTCTGATGTAATTAAGTGTGTACTTTTATGTATTATTGTAAAATTCCTAATTTTACAAAATATAGGGTCATCTTACACAATTATTTTAAAATTTATTCTTCTTAATAATACATGATAGACACCCCTCAATTCACTCAAATGCAACATATTTCATTTTATTGTTATTATTATTTGTTCTACTTAATTGTACATGACAGCAGAATGCATTTCAATTCATTGTACTCAAATGGGGCACAACATTTCAATTCTCTGGTTGTACACAATGTAGAGACGCATCATTCATGCAATCATACATATTAGGGTTATGATGTCCATCTCATTCCACCATTTTTCCTACCCCCATAGCCCCTACCGACCCTCCCCTTTGCCCAATCCAAAGTACCTCCATTCTTCCTATGCCCCCCATCATAGATCAGCATCCACTAATGAGAGAAATGCCAACAATGTATTCTTTTTAGCCACTACATTTGTATTTCCTGATGTTTTATAATATTCCATACTAATGCACAGAATTTACTGTATTAATTTTCCCTTATTAATTTATCTTCCAATATTTTCATTTCTTCTGGACTCACACAAACTATAAACAACACCCCAATAAACATCCTTGTATGTATATTTATTTTTCTGTTTTTTTTCTTTATGAAGCTGGGGTTTGAACATAGGGGCACTCTACCACTTAACTATGTCCCAAGCACTTTTTTAAATTTTATTTTGAGACAGACTCTCACTAAGTTGTTGAGGCTGTCCTGGAAGTTTTAATCCTCCTGCCTCAGCCTCCCATATAGCTAGGATTACAGTTGTGTGCCAACATGCCTAACTAGTATGCATATTCATATGTATCGGGGATTTTACTTATGCAGGCTATAATTCTCAAAATAAGATTGCAAGATAAAAGAGTATAATAACTTTTCAGTTAGTGTGGATATGGTCAGATAACTTCCAATGAAAGAAGATTGCCACAATTTCAACTAGCATTGTATGAGAGTGAGAATTTTTCCGCACTCTTGATAGCCTTTTGCATTTTCAATTTCTTTACATTTGTCAGTTTGATGGATGTGAAATCATGTATTTTTGTTTTATTTTAATTTCTTCCACTATCTGTAAGATTGTATTGCTCTACATATATTAATCGGCCAAGCATTATTTCCACTTCTGTGAACTACATTTTCTTTTTATTTTGGATAATTGGTTTCAAAATTAACATATTTACAAGAAAAATAATGAAATCTATAAGATTTGTCTCAGGAAAGATGAGACCTTACTTTCTACTGACTGATAATAAATACCTAACATTTCAAAACGTACTACTGTATTTCCTTACAAGACATATAACTACCATAGTGAACTAACTGCTTTCATGGTTTCTGGATTCTCTTCTGATTCAGACTCTATTTTTGCACTGATAAAAAGAAATAAAACATTGAAGTATCTTCAAAAGTCCCAGTTTCCCATTTGCAAAATAAGAAGATTAGGTTTAAATAAATAAAATTTATTTTTGTGAAAATATTTATCTTCCCAAACAAAATAAATCTACAAAAAGATTAATACTATTTTATATTTTGTAAATCCATTTAATGTCTACTAGTAGGTTTATCATACATATTTATACATTTGATCTTGTTTAATATACTGTTTATATTGAAGTATTGGAACAAAATCAACCTCACACAGAGGTATAGTTGGTAAATGCAAAAGTATCTTAATAGTATTTTTACACAATTGTAAAATATTCTTTACTACTACACTAAAACTCAACAAGCAATGTATTCTTATAATTTAGTTGCAATGTGGAATTTTAAATTATATCAAGAAACTTTGTATACTGTTACATTAAAACCTACTATAGTGGCTAGGGTTGTAGCTTAGTGGTAGAGCACTTGCCTAGCACTGGGTTCCATCCTCAGAACCACATATAAATAAATAAAATAAAGGTATAAAAAAGATGAAGTTTTCTTAAAAATAAAATCTATCATACTGTCTTTTACTTTGAATGTCTAATTGTACAACATTATGTACTGGGTATTGATAAAACATTGGTTAACTGAGTTACACAGATCTTCCAAATGTTAATATATTTCTTTACTTTTGATTATTTATTTATTTTTATTTGTGCTATTTCATTATACATGACAGAAGAATCTATTTTGATATATTTGTACAAGCATAAAATATATCTTATTCTAATTAAGATCCCAGTGTTGTGTTTGTACACAATGTTGAGATTCATTATGGTGTATTTATATATATATATATATATATATATATATATATATATATATATATACACACACACACACACACACACACACACACACACACGAAAATTATGTTCTGTGTCATTCCTATTTCTCTCCTCCCTGCCTTCCTTCATCCCTATATTAACCTTTTTCTAATGCATTGAACTTCTATCCCCCTTGCCCTCCCCATTGTGGGTTAGCATCCACATATCAGAGTGAACACTTGACATTTGTTTTTTGGGGGGACTGGCTTATTTCATTTAGCGTGATAGTCTCTAGATCCAGCCATTTCCAACGAATGTTGAAGTCATTTTTCTTCATATCTGAGCAATACCCCATTTATATATATATACCACAATTTCTTTATTCATTCATTTCTTGATGGGCATTTAGGTTGATTCCATAACTTAGATGTTGCAAATTGTGCTCTATAAATATTGATGTGGCTGTGTCGCTGCAGTATGCTGATTTTAACTCCTTTGGATATATACTGAGGAGTAGGATAATTAGGTCAAATGGTGGTTCTATTCCTAGCTTTTTGAGGAATCTCCATACTACTTTCCAGAGTGGTTGTACTTATTTGCATTCCCACCAACAATCCAAGACTTTTCTCTTTTCCCCACATTCCAACATGTCAGCTTAGGAACTGACTTCCTCAACAAGACTCCTAAAGCACAAGAAATAAAATAAAAAATCAATAAATAAAATGTTATCAAAATAAAAAGCTTCTTCACAGCAAAGGAAACAATCAAGAGCACGAAGAGAGAACCTTCAGAATGGGAGAAAATCTTTGCCACCTTCAACTCAGATAAGGCATTAATTTTCAGGATATACAAAGAACTCAAAAAGCTTATCAACAAATAGTACACTTCTTGATACAAAATAAAATAATCACAGTTACTAATATCACCACTGGTCATATCAAAAAGTTGTTTAATTATAGGAATTTTTCAATATAGAGTGATGTATACAAATTTTCCATTTCTGAATTTTACTTGATCTTGAAGTTTATCATTAGTAATGGATACTGTCAATTGCTTTTTTTTTTAAGTGGCAAGTGCTATGGTTTGGATGTGAGGTGTCCCACAAAAGCTCACATGTGATACAGCCAAGAAGGATTAGAGAAGAAATGATTGGGTTGTAAGAGTCTTAACCCAATTCAGTGATTTAATCCCCTGAAAGATATTAACTGAAGGCTGTGGCTGGAGGAGGTGGGAATTGGGGTATGGCTTTGGGCATATATTTGTATCTGGAGAGTAGACTCTCTCTCTGCTTTCTGATCACCATTATTTGAGCTGCTTCCCTCTGCCACCTTCTCCTGCCATGATGTTCAGCCTCACCTCCAGCCAAGGAATGGAGCAGGCCTTCTCTGGACTAAGACCTCTGAAACTGTGAGCCCTCCAATAAACTTTTCCTTCTCTACAATTTTTCTGGTCAGACATTTTAGTCACAGCATCTAAAAAGCTGACTAAAACAGCAGGCTACCTCTGTTAGTGTTTTGAGAAAATGTCTCCCAAATACCCAAATTTTAAAAAGTGAATAGTTCAGTTCACAACTCAAATAACCACAAAAGTGCTTTTCCTTGGGATAACCATAGTAATTTGGTATGCAACAGAAGTACTTTATGCCTCTATTTTCCATTAAACGGGATTGAGATATTTTTTAAACCTGATTGACTTTAGTGCTTCATCAATGAAGTAAAACTGAATTTTCACCCTACAAAGTGCATGGCACAGATAAATACAATGACTACTAATACATTTTGTGTTGCTGCTTTTCTTTGTGCTAAAGTGTCAATGATTTCACCAATCATTGCATTATCAGTTTAAAAAAAACTAATAACATCTAAGTATTATTAAGATAATAATTTTACCTTGAGGACTCCCTAGAAGA